TTTTAAAGAGTTAACGCGCAGATGCAAAGGCATAAAAGACAAAGACCCCCATTCGCAGCTGCTAAAGATGAACGCCGAAAGTGAGTTCTTTTATAGAACGTGTCTCTTAAAAAGGAAAGACGCAAACCGAAGTGTGCTTAATAACTGTGTATAACAACAAAAAACCATAACATAAAATAAAAAAACGAAAATCCCTGCGCTATTTGGGTCTGTGTGTGTATATGTTTTTCAATGCTCAATTCAAAATGGAACAGATGTTGAACAGACTACACAATCGATACCATCGCATCAATACATGCGTAGCTCCACAATATCTATCTCTCCATTAAACAGCAATACCTTAAAGTGTAAATAGCCATATATGTACATTTAGAGCGAAAATATATTTTTACCAGAAAATGTCCAAAGCATTGAAAATTTCGATGATTTTACGAAATTCCAAACACGTGTTCGTTTACCCTGCTGAATTTTATTAAAAATCGCTTTTATCCTCACAAGAGTACCGCACATCGATCACCTACGCACACCTACGCAAATTCAAATGCCACATGTACGCACATATACTTTTAAATCTTGACATATATTTGTATATTTGGAAGTATGTGGCTGATGTGTCTTCCAAAGATTTATCCTTGAAATTAGTAGTGCTCAACGATCCTCAGCTATGACAATGTAGGAAATACTGTACCTATCGGTTCAATCATCACTCTGTATGTACATATGTACGTGCATATGTGAATACATATATAGGTTCTTTAGAAAACTATCACCATTGTCTTTTATACTTTTCTTTCGCCTTCCAATTTAATCGCATCAACCGATCGAGGGTGAAAATCCTGATTCACAGATGTTTTCTTTTGGATACACATACATGTATTCCATACAGATGCGTTTGTGTAATAGAAAAATGTGTAGGAATTTCAAATAGGCAAACAGGATGTCAATAGTGTGCATACATAGCACATACACATTTAAAAGGATACGTTCCGTGCAAAGTAAATATCAGACAACTATTAAACAGGTAGGTAACGTGAACACATAGAACACAAAAAATAATTTCAGATTTCAGGGAGGAAATATGCTACATACCTGTGACCTCTAACACTTCTACATATGTGTATCCTGTTTGCCAACCTTTCTAGTTTCCTTACGACTATTATAAACGCAGCAGTTGTACAGGCTATTTATGGGTACAATCTATTTATCTTAATATATAAAAATTCCGTTCCGTGTGTATGTTTCGAATGAACTCAAAAACGAGTGAATTGATACTCATGAAAATTGGCATATATACAATATGTAATTTGGTCAAACTTAAATGATAGGATAGTTATTATTTTAATTAATGGTCTCATTAATTAATAATTAATAATAAACTGATCATTAATTAATTTTATATGAAAATGAATCACTGAATGTGTTGCTAAGCACAAATTTCAATAACAGCTGAATTGATTGATTGAGCTGATTGACAGGGAAATATTTAAAAAAAATTCTGAAAGAGCCCAACAACTCTTTTCTATACTCCTATATAAACAATTCGTAACATTATATATGTATTTAAAAGGGAGTCGTGTTAGCTACAATATTTATAACTCATGAACGGTTTAACCGATTTCGCTTTAAATTGGTGAGGAGATAGCTTAGAATCGTCTATTTTAAATCATTCACTAATGTTGTTAATGTAAATGAAAACGTAAATTAGCTAGATATACTCGGAATGACATCACATAATCTTCGGTTGAAAATTATTCAAAGTTATTTCAATTCACCTCAATTATGCAACGGTACACCTTTGATAATTAAAAAGATTACAAGCAATATTATTGTAGTAACCATTTTGACTTAAAACTTTAATGGAGAAATGGTCCTCTTGCTACGTTTTCCAATGATACTGTCAGAATGTACCATACAAATAGAGCTTAATTAAATTGATTTTGAAAATGTTTATAATTCAAAATTATATATGTATATTATTGTTAAAAATTAAAGAAACGCGTGAACGGGGTCCTCTAGTTTCTCTATAAAGTAAATGAAAGGGTGAACCTACAAAATTTTACAAGTACTATCACAACAGCATATATTTGTCGTAAGTCTGAAAACGTTCAATGAAACTGAAAATTTTTACACAATATGCTATTTTCATAAAAATTAATGTAAACAAAAATAATCAAAATTTTAGCCAAATCTTTTCAAAAAGCAGCAAAATTATTACCGTGTAATAATGGATCTTTAATGAAGTAAATTTATCTACCATTTCTCTTTAAAACATTCGAAGCGCTGTTAATGGCGTGATACACAATTACACACCCAAAGTTCTATTAAAGTATTCATTCCATCTCTTAGCATCCGTCAATAGATCCACCACAACTAATATCACATATTCATGATCAAATTTTGATATACCTTCTAAACAAAATACATTTTTTCAAATTGTTTGTGCAGTGGTGTGTATTTTATGTGAATATGTATATACACATACGTATATAAATATTCTAATGATAAAAAATGATAGAAACTTTGTTCTGCGCGCTGACAAATTTTTTTCAGCTGTGACTGTCATATTACCAGTCAGATGATTGCCACTGTTCTTGTAGGTTCAGTAAACTGTCCGTTTCGACTGACATAAAAATTGTGAATGTATCGGTGAACCCATCAGCAGTTTCTTGTAGGGATGTCACAACCATTATGCATACCAAACACAACTTCCAAACATCTTGCACCGCAATGGTCATTCTGGCTTCCTTAAGTTGGTTTATTAGCATTTTTTTTGGTGCATTCCGCTCGATTTTTTATATAAAAGATGATTCGTTTTCCATATTTTCGTTAATTATTTCCATATGTATATATTTCCATATTGGTGTATGCATTAATTCGTGCGGTTTTCTCTCTACTAGTATTATTTCGCGTCGTATTCATCTGTGGCTATATTCATTTCAAAGGTACTGCCATTTCGCGTCGTTTTCAGTAGATATAAATTGTTTGAGCGTGAACAACAATTTGTTTCATTCATTCGAAATTTGTACCAGATAAAGTGTTTTTGCGGGGAGTTCTTCTTCATTATTTTAACATGAAGAAAAGTGCTGCCGAAAGCCATCGTATTTTACTGGACGTTTATGGTGACCATGCTTTAGCCGAACGAACGTGCCAAAAGTGGTTTGCACGGTTTAAAAGTGGCAATTTCGACTTAGACGACGGAGAACGACCCGGACAGCCAAACAAACTTCAAGACGAAGAATTGGAGGTATTGCTCCACGCAGATGCATGCCAGACGCAAGAAGAACTTGCAAAAGTATTAGGAGTTGATCAAGCAAGCGTTTCCAGACGATTAAAATCATTAGGATTCATCCAGAAGCTTGGAAATTGGGAAAAGAAGTCGTTTTTGCATCGGATTGTCACTGGCGATGAAAAATGGATTCATTATGATAACCCAAAGCGCAAGAAATCGTATGTGAAGCCCGGCCAACCATCAACATCCACGGCAAAGCCGAATATCCATGCTGCTAAGGTTATGCTATGTATTTGGTGGGACCACAAGGGTGTGCTCTATTATGAGCTATTGAAATCGGGTCAGACGATCAATGGGGACCTCTACCGAAAACAATTGATTCGTTTGAAAAAGGCCATCGCGGAAAAACGACCAGAATATGCGACCAGACACGAATCAATAATTTTTCATCATGACAACGCTCGACCACATGTAGCAAGGCCAGTTAAAAACTATTTGGAAAACTGTGGGTGGGAAGTTCTACCTCACCCGCCTTATAGCCCAGACATAGCACCTTCCGATTACCACTTGTTCAGATCAATGCAGAATGCCCTCACCGGAGTACGCTTCTCTTCAGAACAGGGTATCAGAAATTGGATTGATTCTTTCTTGACCTCCAAGCCGGAGAAGTTCTTTTGGGATGGGATCCACAAACTGCCAGAAAGATGGGCAAACATCATAGCTTCCGATGGGCAATACTTTGAACATTAAATTTATAACAATTTTTTCACAATAAAGCAACTCTAATATAATCCCGCTAGCAATGGTTGAAATATATTTACTTATATACATAGGTACATAAATATCGTAACGTAAAACCAAAAACAAAAAATCATCAAAAAATTGGAAATTGAGTTTTTTATTGATTACCCTTCACTGCATCTAAATACATACTATACCTATATGTACGTAGATACATGTGCTTCTGCTTTTAAATAAATGTAATAAAGTTATAACCAAAATTTTAATTTCCTTTGAATATAGGTTGCTTTTCTATATTTTATATCGTTTTTCAATCCATAGATAACTACTTGAAAAGTGATGTTACGTTATTTTGCATTTTAGGTGACGATATATTATATGGCGATATATACATATGTGCATATTTTTACACTTATACAAGTTAAAATACAAAGGTTTCGAAAGTTGCGAAATTTGCAGTTCGAAAGTGAGAAATGAACATAATCGTTCACAGACCACAAAATTGTGGTTATCCTTTCCCAATATCAATTTATGTTGTGAATTGTTTAATGTACTTATCCTGACGAGCACAAATTGTTCTATAAAGAAATTGTAAATTTATAAAAATCTAATATTAAATTTAAGAGTTTGAAGTCAAACTGATATAAATTCCCCCATTTTTAATTTTTTATCTAATTCTAATCGTGCACATTAGTTTATATAGGTTTTATAAAATTATATTGTGTTGCAAACAAGATATTGTATAAACTTTTTAATAACAACTATGCAAACAAAAACAATACAATGCCACAGTCTTTCACCTGATACAGTGTACAGCAAAATTTTGTACACCCAAAGTTTTGCATTGATGTATTTTCGTGATTTTATTTATGAAACTTTTTATCGACAGTACAATAAGGGCACCTTTATGTGTGTACTTATGTGAATATTTCATGATATGTGTGTTATTGCACTTTTGCTGTTAGAGAACTTTAACTTTTAGGCCACTTTACTTTGGTCTAATTTATATTTGAAAACATGCTCTACTTACCCATAAAGCAATGCTGCTCCTGCAATGCCGCCACCACATTGTGCCGTTATGTACATGGCAGCACGAATTGGTGATATGGCGCGTATGATGCATGCTGCCAACGTAACGGCAGGATTTATATGGGCACCTGTTAATCAGAGGTAGGACAAAATATAATAAAAAAAAACGTAAAAACTATTTTTATGCGACAATTCGAGTTAATCGTAAGTGAATATGTAAAAAATTATAGATATTAAAGAAATAAATAAATAAACTAAGGAAGTTTTAGGTTCAGAGGCAGATGATATTTACTCTTACAGTTTCATGGTTTAGTTTTGTTTTTTAATTTAAAAGTTTTAACCGGGAATGTATATAAATCATCCTACATAGTAATTTTTTTATTTCTGGCATTTGTAAATTGAATTTAATACACTTCTAGTTTTAAAGAATGCCGTTACAAGGGGGTTTAGCGTGGTTATTTCCCGATTCATTGTTTTGGCCAAATTTTTTTAAAATCGCTTAAATAGTTTATGGAACACAACTATTTTATTCTACTATATCACGTCCCAAGAGTATAATGAACTTGCAGTTCAGTTTCAGAGTAGAATATGCAATTGTGTGGGGATCATAGAATCAAATATGTACCATAGAAAAGTCTGAAAATAGTCTAAGGAGTATTTTATCTATTTGTGGAAATAGAATTTTCGGAAAACGCCACTGTTCCCAACCACATCCAATCTAGTTCGCTTACAATCAGGTAAAGATGCAAAACGACATCGAGACAAGTTATCTGACCTCTTTAATAGAGTTTAATGTGCATGTAATATGTCCATATATATATTTGCACTACCACATACCCGATATGTGAATAAAGCACTGAGTTAACGCAGCCATTGCTAATCCAGAAGCCAAAGCTGTTGCTAGCAGCACCGATGAAACGCTGGCACCAACACCCGCACCGGCTGCGGCCCCACAAACGATAAACACGTAGAAAAATGACGCCAAACATTCACTGATGATCGATCTGTTAGGGGAAAAGAACAATAATCTCAAGTTAAAAAAAATTTAAAACAAATTTGCATATTCATTAAAAAAACTGAAATTATTGATATCTGCATATAAACATAAACGTTTATGTATCAATATAAATTCAAGTTTATCAGATATAATTGCTTAAATGTTGTAGACAAAGACCACAAATTAGGTATAGTATAATAAATTTGAATGATTTCGTATCGATAAAAACTAAATTAAAACATTTATACATAGAAATATATTGACATATATATTTAGAGTGTCGTCTTTATGTGCCAAATAAATATGTATTTGTAAGTGAGTGTGTACACTTAAATGCACACATGCTTGTACATATGTATGTACATATAAGTAAAAAAAATATGCAGCTGTTTCAAGCAGTGTTGAAGTAACACTCATTTTTTGTTGTTGTTGTCAGTATCGAAATGCTCGCCCCACAAGGAGACTTAACGGGTTCAAGTCTTTAGTGCGAAAAAACGATTACACCAACAACTACGACAAAGGAACCAAAAATAAGTTCGCCATCGTTTCGCTCCTGCTGAATGCTATTTTTTGCTGGAAAATTGGGTGCAACAGCTGCAAATGATAGTGACATTCAACTGTAAGTGAAGCCTTAGTAACAAGTCGGTCAGTCAAGGCAAATACGCTTATGCACGTACATTCATATCATTGTACATACAATACATATGTATATATGTATATGTATATGCGCATATGAGACGTATTATGTGTGGAGCGAGACTCTTTGGAAAGTTATTGATATTTATATTTGTACTGACTTTTTAAACATCTTCGAGATGAATTTTAGAATAGCATCCCCCGAATGCGGATAAAATTGGTATGTTCGGTTAGAGAGGGTTCTCCAGATTAAATAGCAACATTTAGTTGCCGCTGACTTATGGTTTTTGAGATATTTGTATTTAAAGTTCAAAAATGTAAAGTACGTGTTTCTTTGATTTGTAATGAATTTAACACTTATATTGTATTTTTCACTTTTATATCCACTAACACTTCTCTAATTCGATTGTACACATTTATTTTATAGTAAATGGTGACAAAATAACTTTTGTTCAATATTTAACTTTTGTTAAATTCTTTTTATTCACACATAAACAAAAAGGTTGCATTCTAACAAATAATCAGTGTTACCTTATCTGCATATTTTACAAAGGAACCAAAAGGAATAAACAAAACAGATAATACCCTAATGACAGGAAATAAAAAACACATTATTAATTTTTCGCGTGAAACTTTTAGTTCTTTCGCGTAAAATTAGTTGTGGCATTGGTGGCCGCGCTTAAAAAAATAGCCCTGGTCGATCCAACACCGAAAGGAAATTCCGAAAGAGTTTGCGTTACTCATCAACGATTATGATTTTGGTATTGACGGTATAATACTTCTTTTTTTTATTTTTATTCGTTTGCAAAAAATATGGCAACACTTATTTTTTGTTTGCATGCAACCATTTTGTTATTGTATGAATAAATGGATTTGAACCAATGTTAAATATTCAATTAAAGTTAGTTTTGCACTATTTAATACAGAACAAAATGTGTAGAAACGAATTAGTGAAGTGTTAGTACATATAAAATTTAAAATTATAAAATATTGTTAAGATATAAGTTTTTATATATTAAAAACCTGTTATATTTTATGGAATAGTTTACATACATACAACGTATGTATATTAATGAGATTATTTTATACATAATATTAAATTTATTCAGAAATTATACTAAATTATAATATATATATAACAAGTTACTAACAAAAAAAATTAACATTAAATTAACTAACATGTAAATTAAGAATATTTTTTGAAAGCAAGTTAAATAGTTAGGAATTTTATTCATAAAATATATAACATAGAAATACACTCAATATATCAACGATCAAGTAGTACATGCTATTAAAATCATCGAAATATAAGTATTTATTGTACTAAGCATAAAATCGGCAATATAATTTGCTTATTTTTTTAATAAAACGTACCTCCAGAATTCCAAAGTCCTTATTTCTCCCTGCATATCGCGTTTCGGTTGCAGTGTGCTTGAGGGCCGGTTGTTGATCGCATTACCATGCGAGTCTTTTCGCATCGCTTCCAAACGTTCGAACAGTGACAAAATGTGATAGTCAATGTTGTGCTCCAGCGGTATTGTGTGTAAACTTTCATCAGTCATTGTGAAAACTTATTTAAATAAACTGTTTTATATAAATTTTGAAGCAAACGATATGTACTATTTATTTATTTCGAATGTTCTGCCAACAATTAAAAAGTTGTTCGCACTCAATATTATAGTTAAATTTTATACATGAAAGCACTCATTCGTTAGTATGTATAGGTTTTGAGAACTATACGCATTAAGATTTATATTTGAAAATTGATTTTAATTGATATTTTTAATGTAGCCAACTTTCACTGCTAGTTTTTCATATCGATAAGAGACACAAAGTTGAAAATGAAGAAATTGAAGTTTAAGAATAAAAGGCTTTTATATGGCGTTATTATTTTACTTTGGTTTTTCTCGGCATTCTAATACTATCCGTTAGGTAAACGACAGCACACTTTATATTAAGGATGCACAGATAACACAACTGCACTGAAACACTGCCGCGTTACTACAAACATTACTTCGTGAAACTTGATTTTGTTGAACCATAATGCAATGCATCGAGAATTGAAAAAATTCAACAAACTCACCACCTACGATGCATACGCCACTGCTACACACAAACAACACCATCCACCACCACCAACACTTTGTCACAGGAACATGTGTTTGGAATTGAAACGTCGTAAACGGATGGTGGAAACCATATTTTCCCCCGCTTTGCGGCAAGTGGAATTCAACCCTGTTTTTCTTCCGTGTCATTTCATAGGCCTTTATCTTTCATCTATGTAGTTACGTAACATTCATTTAAGTTCCTATTAGTTTAGGTGCTATTAGTTTCAGCATATGAATTGTTATTAAGATCAAATTCACAGTAAATTGAATTTGAAACTCCTTTTGTATAAATGAATAAAATAATAACTTAACAAGTGAGAAAGGGCTAAGTTCGGACGGAACGAAGCATTTTATTTCACACAATTTGCAAGGATGAAAGGCTCTGTTTGCACATAATATAATAATTTTGTTCACCTACCTCTTGTTTGTAACATCTAAAACTGAGATATTTTAAAGAAATTGTGTTTTCCTTAGCACCCAAGGGAGATTGGTATTAGAATGGGGCCATTACCACGACTACAAAATACCGTTAAATAAAATCTCATAAAGTCATGTAACTAACTCACCAAAGAAGATTTAAAAGTGTAATTTGGTACAGGGCATAAAACCATATATGAGAATATATGGTTTAATTTTTTTTTTAAGTGAGCGTGGCCCTGCTCCTTATAAAGTTTTAAAGTACATATGTATGTATATCGCTAACGACTAATGCTAAATCGATGAAACTGCTGGGAACAAATCTTTATAGCTCCACCTCATACACTGTCACTACATTAAATTTCGCAGCCAAGATGGTTCGCAACGGCTTCATAAGGGTCGGTATTAAAATTTGACAGTGGGCGTGATACTGCCAACCTTTAGATGAAATCCTATAACTCATGAACTACTCCAGCAATTTCAACCAAATTTGGCTCATTAGATTATTTTGATATCCGTATATTAATGTGTTCTTGTGGCAAAAATGGGGTCAATAGTTCGCCTAATCCCCAAATACCTAACATAAAAAATTTCGAATTTCCGGTTAACTTCAATGTCTTTCCGTGATAAAGGTCTGGGCTTACGCCGAAAATGGTTATTATCATGTCAATACTTCTCATAGAGAGCCATGAGACGGTTGAAAGTTTATTTAGGTCAATATGTGCGATATTATAACGAATTTATATCCCTATTACGGTTTTCATCTCCACTCGGTTGAATTGAAGTTCAAGCAATTCAACTGATGTGCTGCGTATAGGAAAAAGCCCTCGTGATCATTTAAATCCATTCTCACTTCCTAACACCAAGTAAGCCAATGTTTTATCGATAATTAAATGGCTTTTATAGACTATTTATTGCAAATTCATACGTTATATTCGTTTAAGTGAGGAATCATTTTGTTTTTTATAACGCTTATTACCTTCACCTGTATGTTTGTAACTTATTTCAGTGACACTAAATCAGACACACTGTTTGATAGGCACTGCATAAAAAAAGGTGCCTAAAACTATGCAGCTTAAAGCATCAACTCCATACTGTCATTTGAATAACAAATATACTCAAACACATCCTTAAAGAAATTGAGAACACCACTTATGCGAAATAATAAATATATTTTAAAAAAATCTCCAAATTCCAATTATATATCTCATACATTGAACGATATTTAGGTAAAAAGTCAACCATGGACACTTGGATCCACTTCTTCGGTATATGGTGGCTTGAAGACCCCTAGTGGCATATCTTTTTGCGAAGTTTTATCAGAGAAAGTATATCATAGAGAAGGTTCATGGTGTGCCAATTGTCAAAATGTTCGCTAGACGGAGGGTTACTCGCCAACATTAAAGAATTTCACCACAAAAAAATTATAAGCGGATTTCACCAGAGTTTTACACCTGCGGACTCGAAAATAGCAGAATAGAGCATTTTTAGTGTGAAATTAGAAACATAATAGCTTAAACACAATACGGGCGACGACGAATGTTCGTGGTACTCGGCGACGCCGTCGGTGACAAGAACACACGATTGTATTTGAAGATGAACGCGACGGCGGCGAATTTCGTCTACCATGATGATTTTTGCGATAGAGCTATTTCTAATTTTATCGCCGACCGCGGCGGCAAAACCGGCATCACCATATCAAAGAAAGATTATTTTTAGTAAAAACCTTAAGGATTTTCAAAAAAATTTAAGAAAATGTCTGCGTTGGCAATATTAAGATTGTTTATGTTTGGTTTCGTCATTTAGTGTGATATTTTTGAGCGCGGAATATACACTAGCTGCGACGAAAATCGTCCGTATTGTGTTTTATACGGTGGCAACACTCGGCGAAAATCCGTACGACGGCGTCGCAGAGTACGACGAATATTCGTCGTCGCCCGTATTGTGTTTAAGCCATAATGCTAATTTCAATGTTAAGATTGGTTTATTTACAATGTGCAAACGACTTTGCATATAATTTAGAGATATTATGCATGTATTTGGTATCAAAGCACATAAGTATATATGTACAAATTTACCTATTTCATGATGAATTTAATAAAATCTATTGATTCTATATATTTTTCTGAATTTGAATTAGAATTATTATCCGCACTCTGATTTTATGATAGTAGCGGACTCTGTGAATCGATCTATTTCCTATTTAAATTTTTCGTGAATATTTTATTATTACCGAACTATTATTTATTCCACCTTAGATCCGCCACTGTCGGCAACCAATGGCCGAAGTGGGGCTTTGAGCGCGGGGACTGAATCAAGAAATTCCCTAACGGAAATGAACCTAAGGCGATCTCAAAGTATGCGCGAAATGTTTGCATACTTTTAGGCGTATTTTCGCATATCTCAAGCGGAACAAATCAATTGAAGAGACAGCAGGATGATTCAAAAAGAATAATATTTAAGATAAAATTTTTTAATGCTAAATAAAAATATGGAATATTAGTAACATTATTATTAAGCTATTGCATAGCTTTTATCGTGGGGCTTTGAGCGCGGCGAAGAATCAAGAAATTCCGTAACGAAAATAAACCTTGCAACATGTTGCTACAGAGTATTATAGCTTGGTTCACCTAACGGTTGTTTGTATCACCTAAAACTAATCGAGTTAGATATTGGGTTATATATAATATATATAAATGATCAGGATGAAGAGACAAGTTGAAATCCGGGTGAGTGCCTGCCCGTCCGTCTGAGCAAGCTGTAACTCGAGTAAAAACTTGAGATATTTTTATGAATATTGATACACATGTGGTACCGTAAGACGGTTGGTATTGCCGATGGGTTTAATCGGACCACTGCCACGCCCACAAAACGCGATTATTCAAAAAAAAATTGCAATAACTAAGCTCCACAATAAGATACAAGACTTTTATTTGGTATACAGGATCACATTAGGAAAGGGCATCTGCAGTTTAAATTCTTTTTAAAAAGTGGGCGTGGTCCCGCCCCTAATTAGTTTAATGTGCATATCTCCTAAACCGCTATAATAACAAAATTCACTAAGGACAAATGTTTTTAGCACCTCTATCGAAATGGGTGAAATCGGGTGGCAACCCAATCCCCATATAACGGTAATGTTAAAAACTACTAAAAGCGCGATAAATCAAGCACTAAACACGCCAGAGATTGCAGAGAAGAATTTTATCTCTGGGATGGTATGAGAGGAATTTATATGTACCGCGTTCAAAATTAGACAGTGCGCGTGGCCCCGCCCACTATTACGGAAAACCCATATCTTGGGATCTGCGTAACCGATTTCAAAAAAATTCTGTACATAACATTCTTCTTATGTTTCTATGTTATAGTGCGAAAACGGGTGAAATCGGACTACAGCCCCGCCTACTTCCCATATACCACAATTTCAAATTCCATCTGATTCTTTCACTTTCCAGTATGCAAATCAAGCTCCAATGAATTTATCGGCATAAAACTTTGCATAAATAGTACGTTTGAGTTGGGCGACCTTATTACCAAATATTGTCTAAACCGGACTAAAACTATTCAACCCCCCATATATTGAATATGTGGACACCAGGTCCTACAGCAAGCATTTTATCGAAAATATCGGTCAATCTGTGAGATATGCTATAGAAATTCGAAGAAAATCCTTTTCTGATAATAATATGCCTGCGTGTCAAAAATGTGTTGTATCGGGTCAATAATTCGATTAGCCCCCATATACCTAATAAAATGATTTTCAAACTACCGGCTGACTTTATATCGCATATTTCAGTAAATTATTAAGATACCTTAGCACAATTTTCTGGAAGTATAATGTTGTTAAAGTTGTAAGTATAAATATAGTTTAGTGCCGAAAATATGTGAAATTTGTTCACATATTACCCAAACTATTATATACTACATATAATGATTTTCTTTGTTCTAACAAATCGTATGCACCTGAAGGTATTTCCTTGGCATTGATCCTGGCAAGTTGCAAAAGTATGAAATTTTCGGTTACACCATAACTTAGCTCTTCCTTACTGGTTTTTAACTATATTTATTTACTAAATGAGATGAAGGAACGTTACCACAAACTCTCAATTTCCTTCCTGCCGGTAATTATCAAGAACGCATTTTGAATGATTTTAACATTAGGCTGAAGCAACCTTCTATATCTATGGTTGTTACAAAACTGTTATGAATACCATATTTGTGCGCTGTGGATAAAATATCAATGACTGAAGAGGAGCAAAACGCTTTTTTTCACCTTTCTATGGATTTGTATATAATATCTGATTAAAATAATTTGAATAATTTTTTATAATATAATATGGTAGTTCTTTTTACCCATTTTCTATTAATATTTTTTCTAAATCAATTCATTAATGTTTAACTAGAATTGCTTGTTAGCAGTTGCAATTTTTCGATGCCAACCCCACTGGCGCAGAGTTGAAAACCGTAATACCAAATAAGTTGAAGTTTAACAACACTTCAACTGAAATTTTTTTAGCGGGGTTGAGTTGAAAACCATAATACCGAATTTCAAAACTTCAACCAGAATGCTGTTGAGTTGAAAACCGTAATAGGAGCCTTAATTAAGTGGTTTCGTAACCACTTGCTGAATATGAATGAACCCCTAATATAAAGTTATTCGCGCCTATAGTTACTTTTTTTTTGTATTTATATAATTTAAACTAAGTACCTTTGATTGAGTTTATATCTCAATTAGATTAAGCTAACAAGTAGCTCTATTAAGGCT